GGAAATCTGGCCTACTTTCTCTGTGACATTTTCTTAATAGAATTGTCATCTAGTCATCATTATTTCTGTTTCTCTTTGGAAACCAAATAGTTCGTGGAGGTGGTGATCTCAAAGTATTCATGGTTTTCCAGAGAAATGGTAGGATTCTGGAATTAGAAAAGATGGGTGAGAAAGTCATTCATGTGATTATATGTTCTAGTCTTGGTGCTCCAGATTGGAAATAGTTACAAGGCTTGTTTTAGCCTGAAATTTCATTTTATTTTATTTTTTAAATATATCTTTATTGATTTCAGAGAGAGGAAAGGAGAGGGAGAGAGAGAGAGAAACATCAATGATGAGAGTCATTGACCGGCTGCCTCCTGAACGCCCCCGACTGGGGATCGAGCCCGCAACCGAATCGAACTCTTATCTCCTGGATCCTAGGTTGATGCTCAACTACTGAGCCATGACCGGCCTGGCTGGCCTGAAATTTTATAGCCTAGTTCTCCTCAGTATGCCTTAGAGTAATGATCTTTGTTTTTAATTGATGTGTTTTCAGTAGGTGAAATATGAAACCATATTCTAAAAGTGTCTGAAATTTCAGCAATTAGGAAATAAAACCACTAAAACCTAGCTAAGCACACATATGCTCTTTTTGGTTACCTCCCTAATAATTAGATGACCACATTAGTGGTTGGGTTTGGCTTAATCTTTATATATAGATTTAGTGTTGGGCTAAGTACTCTTGCATTCATAATCTCATGTGTCATGTTAGGTGGGTATTATTATCTATGTTTTATTGACTACAAAGCCTGAGAGGTTAAATGACTTACCTAAAGTCATATAGATGATTTGTGGCAGAGATGAGATTTGAAACCAGGTCTTCTAATTCCACAGTTGGTGACCTTTTTACCAAGGGAGTAAAGGTGAATTTGTTATAGAAATCTTCCTATAAATTATTTTCTGTTGAGTGATTTCCATGTTTCATTATTAAGTGAACCCACATACATATTAAAAAAAGGATACACAAGGGCCCTGGCTGGTGTGGGTAGTTGGCTGGGCATCGTCCTGTGCACTGAGGGGTCGCCAGTTCGATTCCCGGTCAGGGCACATGCCCAAGTTTTGGGTTCTGTCCCCTGTCAGGGTGTGTGCAGGAGGCAACCGATCAATGTTTCTCATATTGATGTTTCTTTCTCTCCCTCTCCCTTCCTCTCTTTCTAAAATCAATAAAAACATTTTTTTTAAAAAGGATATAAAGGGGTGGGCAAAACTAGGTTTACAGTTGTGAGTATGCAAAACAAGAGTTTATTTTTGTATTTATCATTATTATTATTATTAATCTACTTTTGCTCACCCCTATATTCCAGTAGAATAAAAAATACATTTGATGCCCTGATAATAAGTCATATGTAAGAATATAGCATGATTTTATAATCACATACTTTAAGGAAAATAACTTCCTGATAAACCAATAATAAACTGTCAAATATTGAGTCTGAAAGCATGGATATTAATAAGTGCCATAGTCAAAATACATTAAAATAAGACTCTCTAAAAGTAAAACCATACATGAATGACTTGGTTTGTGAATTCCTTAACTTAAGAATTACATTAAGTGCCCCAGCCAGTTTGGTTCAGTGGTTAGAGCGTCGGCCCATGGACTGTAGGGTCCCAGGTTCGATTCCAGCCAAGGGCATGTGCCTTGGTTGTAAGCTCGATCCCTGGCCCTGGTCGGGGCAGGTGCAGGAGGCAACCAATCGATGTGTCTGTCTCACATCGATGTTTCTCTATCTTTTGTCCACTCTCTCTGAAAATCAATGGAAAAAATATTCTCAGGTGAAGATTAAAAAAAAAAAAGACTTAGGTTAAGTGAGGGACAGTGGTACTTGAAGCCAAGAGAAATGTATCCTGCAAACTTAGGCTATCAAAATGATCATACTATGTTGAGCTGCCTTGTTTCATCTTGGAATGAAGAAATAGACAAATGTAATACAGAGTCATTCAGTTGAGACAGATGGAAGACAAGCATTAGCAGTAACCGTGGTAAAGCCCACTGCCTCCCTGCCTCTCCCCACTGCTCCTGTGCCGGCTGTGCAGACCCAGCAGGGAGACTGACGGGATGCTGGGCGGGCTGGGCTCTGTGGCGGCAGGAAGTTCTAGGCCACCGTGACTAAATCTGTGATTTCCACTGCTGAGTGAGTGGCCCTTTTCCCACTAATTTACTCTTTTGTCATGAATGAGTTACATGTTTTTTTTAATTTTGTTTTCAGATGTGGTTCACAGGCTAGATTTGAAGATAAACGCCGGCCATTACCTTATCAGACATAAGGCCTTATTTTTAACCATTCTTTCCTCAAAGGGCCTATTTATAGCATACAGCCCCCCAGGAGACAAGTAGGGGGTAAGATAGTGGATTGCAGCCCGAGGCACTTATTTGCTTGAGAAAAATGCTAGATGAGTGGTTTCAAAAAGCTCAGGTTGCTGATGTGGGTAGAGGATTAAAGTGAACACAGTTTCTCCTCCCCTGTTTAAATATTTGCTGGAGAGCTAATGGGACTTTGTGTATATGTGTATTTCCTTTTTCTGTTGGGGAAATTAAAAGTATTACTGTAACATCCTGTGATAAAATATGAGAGGTAGAGGCTGAGGGAACAGATGGATGAAGTAGAAGAAATGTGCCCCAGGCCTGTGGCATGTTGTGTTATGACTGCAGTCTTGGCATCTCTTCATCTGCTGGTGATTAAATGCAGGAATGTTGGGACATAAATAAATAGCTATCCCGTCAGCGGCTTATAGCATACATAGCACTCTTTCCTATCGGAGAAACCATAAATGCTTTCACAAGATTAAATTTTATTTTATTTTAAATTAGTACTCATCCTAGAAGAATTCCATGCAATTTCAAATACTCATGACTTAAATAGTATGATAAATGCCTCTCTCATTCAAAATCTGCAAATCTGATTAGATGCCTGCATTAAGGTAGTGAGACTGGGGACAGTTTAAATCTGAGTTTTCAAGATAAGAAACATAGGAAAGATCTCCACTGTAATTGTTAATTCTGTGGAAAATAGGAATGTAGAAAGTTTTGAACATACTAATCTTTGTTCCCAGTATCCTCTCTTCAAAAGGAAGCTTAGTATGAGTCAAATAATAAAATTGTCTTATTAACATTTAAATTTACCAATCCTCACTTTATGAAATTACATATTAATAAATATTTTATAACCACAAATTATATCCCAAATTATTTACCTGCCACTTTTTGATAAGTTGAGTTCTCCTTTCAGGAGGTGTAGTGTTTTTGAAGAAAGCTCTTGAGCAGGGCACCAGGAAGCAGGGCACCTCCTCCTCCATCCAGAAGTGTCCCACCAGGCTCCTATGGGTGAGACAGGGTGGCAGGAGGGGTCTGAGAGGACAGACAGGCTGGGAGCCCTAGTTTCCCCTGCCACTGTCCCCAGAGATCAGGAGAGAGTGATAGGGTGAGCCCATCGCCTTTATTCTCGCCTGTCACCCTAACCAGGAGGGAGTGAAGAGCCAACTGGTCCTTCTAGTGCCAGGAACAACCCTAACCCCCCATTCCACCCCTGTAGGACTCTCTATCCTTTCCCCTTATGCTGGACCCTCATAGAGAAAGTTCCCTCCTCTTTATGCTCTTATTTTGGGGTCTGGGCAGTGGAGAGGAGGTGTGGCCGTACCTTTTCTTGCTTAAACCTCCTCATTACGTGAGCCTTGGGGACCAGGAGCAGGAGAGATGTCAGGGTGGTTACAGCAGAGCACTCACATTAGAAAAGTTCTTTCAAGAGCACAACTGTTTTTTATGAGCCCCTTAGTTAGAGACACTCTTTGGCTAACCAGATCCCTGCCCTCTCATATTGTATAGGGGAATGGGAGAGTAAAACCTTTAATTGAAATAGCACACATACAGAAAATTGCCCAGATCATAAATGTACATCTCAATGAATTTTCACAAAAGAAGCACCCATGTAAACAGTATCTAGATGAAGTTTATTTTTTTATAATAATATTTATTTCCTAATTATAAAAGCACTTTGTAATAATTTTGGAAAATTCAGCAAAGTGTAGTAAAGAAAAGAAAATACACTTATTGTACCTACTCCCCCCCAAATGATCACTGGTAACATTTGGTTGTGTTTGCAGTCCATCTCTCTGTCTCACTCCCTTGCACACACCTGTGCTATGTGTGCCCATAAATACATGCACACAGTAAGTACCACAGCCTCTGAAGCTTTACACATGGAAGTTCTAAGCATGACATACAGAATTTTAGAAATTTTATTGCCTGGTTGTTGGCTTCATCAGCAGAATGGCCAGGAAAGAAAGGGAAACTGAAAACCATCTGTCTCCTTACTTGATAGGAAAGGGGCTGCTTGTGAGGGAGGAGGTACAATAAGTGGCTGCCATATATGTGTGGATGACTCATAGATTTCATTTATTCACTATTTCCCTGCCCCTTAGAAAACTTAACAATGGTGAGATTTTAAATTAGCTCTCTCGCAGATACCTAAGCAGATGTTAACCACAGTGAGTCAAAACGCTGGAAATTGGCTGGTGGTTTTGTGAGCAGCAGGAACATGATCGCTCCATCACTACTAAAACGTATGTGACAGTGCTTTCATGCACTGGTTGCTTTGGTCCTCGAGAAGTTTCCTGCTCACATTGTCAGGAAGATGACAGTTGGCACCAGCTTCCTGTTGCTGTTGGTGGTGCAGGGCATATTGCCCATCTGTCCCCTGGCTGGCCATGGGCTCAGCTTCTGCAGGGGTTCCCTGTGCTGGGAGGGCTTTTTCCCTCAGAACGGCCTATGCCTCTTTTGTAAAATATATTTTCTTTTCTTATACATATGAGATTTAAGTTATTACATATACAGAAACTTTATTGATTTTTATATTTGTTAAATGTCTGCTCAGCTCACTCCTTTCTCCTTGCTTGTTAAAAATGTTCCCCAGTGGTATGGAGAGGCCTGCATGTTCATGTATGGTCTTGTGTTGTCTTTGCAGTAGAAATCAGCTGTCCTCCCTGCCCGCTTGCCTGTGTGGTCTGCCTCTCAAAGTCTTAATCGCAAGTAACAACAAACTTGGATCGCTGCCAGAAGAGATTGGTCAGCTCAAGCAGTTAATGGAGTTGGTATGTACTGATTTTTAAGATGCTCTTTTTTGTTTACAGTAGTCTATCGAGGTTGTCAAAAAAACGTTTTGCTATGTTTGACAGAGAGGAACTGATCCTGTGTTGTTGATAAAGACATTAAGGAGGGAGAGGAACCTTGGCTTTGCTGTAACAGACATAGTTCCTGAAAGTTACAGGTTTCCTGTTCACACTTCCTTAAGTTTACAGGATTTACGGCTCCTGAAGTTTATGGTGTTTAGATCATTTTTTTCAGTTAAAATAAGTTTGTGCTAAATTATGGATAAACTGGAAAAATAATTTACAACTAGGTAGTAGGCCCCACTTTATGAATGTATGTAATTAAGTCATAAGATGGAAATAACAGCATGCTCTGATTCTGTAAGGATTTGAGTAACCATGCCCTAAATTAATGTAACTTTAAAATGTGACCATATCCCAGGGATAAAAAAGGAGATCATGTTACAGATGGACAGAGATGGGTTTGTAAGTGTGCCTGAGGCTGAGATGCACTGCTGTATTTCAGCTCTTTCACTACTGATTCAGTTACTTACCTTGTTTCTTAGAGTGGGAAAGAATGGATCCTTTCTAGACTTCCATTGAGCTAAAATGGGCAAATGTAGAGGCAAGAATGAGCAATCAGGTTAAAACAATAGTCATAGTTTAGCTTCTAAGCAAGCATTATTTCACACTGACCTTGTGTCAAGCATAGAGTGAATATTGTGATTCCAACCATGAAAAGGACATGGTACCTTCCTGCAACTAGATGCCAGTCTAGAACATTGATGGCCAATAATTTTTTTCTTGTATGCCAACTCTGTTTAATTTCCTTGGGGTCACCTGGAATACTGTTTCGATGGCTCATGAGGCCCAGATAGAGTGCTGTGATCACTTAGTAACATCTGCTGGGAGAACTGGCTGGGAGAATGACAGCACCTGTGTCACATATGTATCCACTTTGAGGTCAGTATAGAAATGAGTAACTGCTGTATCAAAGCATTAGAGCTATAAAAAGAGTGCCTTTTGCAGGACTTACGTGATAGCAGGATCTGAAACCCGTTCCAACTTGCTCACACCAAGAGTTGGGATTGGTTATAGAGATGCAGAGGTCTTCCCATCACTCAGTATCAGGACATTTGATCCGGGATAATGAAATGACTAGGATAAGACACTGGAAAGTTGGCAAGACCCATGGCCATGGTTTACTTGTATGAGGTTTCTCTGCTTCTGTGTACAAAGAAGTTGCCTAGCCCACAGATTCCAAGTTTAAATGTCCTCCCAGCTAAATCACTTAGCAGGGACCTACTAGTAGGTTCAGCCCTGGTTTCTAAGCATGAGAGGCAAGATCTGAGTCTCATGTCCTCTCCTGCCTCAGTCAGCAACACCCAAGGCACACAGTCACATTGCCCTGACCTCGCTGCTCAGCTGCCACCAAGGGGGGAAATTCCGAAAGAAGATGGTTATTAATTTGGGCCCTCTCATCCCAATGTCTCTGATACAGGAGGTGTGTCCACGGGCAGGAGTGACTGCTTGGTCTTGGGGCTGGGAAAGGTGGTAAGAGAAGAGACCTTTGAGAGGCACGTTACATAAGTCGATGTGGATTTCTTAGATGGAAAGAGGAAAGCAGAGACAGGAAGGCCTTCAAGAGAAGGAAGGGATGGCTTGTGCAAAGACGAGACGGTATGGGGCTACATTGGATGCTTGGACAGTAGGAAGCAGTTTAATCCTCCTGACACTAGGTAGAATGGGGCTGCTGCCTTCGATTTAGGCCGCCATCAGCACCTCCTTCACAGGCATCGGGGCCCCCATGGTCAGGCCCCTGCTTCCCTCTCCAGGCTCATCTCTAGCCTCTGGTCCCTTCACCCACCCCTGGTCCCTCCACCCTCTGAGTTACTGCCTTCTGGGAAGGCACCTTGTTCATTCTCACCTCTGTCCTGAGCACATCGCTCTTTCTACATGGACTTTCTTCCTCCTCTTTTGGTCAGTTCTTAGCTAACTTAGATCTTACTTCCTCCAAAAAGCCTAAGTTAGGTGCTTCTAAGACAAGCACCCAGTACTTACCATCACATTTTCAGAGTCACGTTTGCCATCTTACTTGGTATTCTCCACACCAGCAATTCCCACACCTTGAAAACTGCTTAGGGACAGGGACTGTGTCTTACTTGCTGTTGTATCCAGTCTCAACAATGTTTGCTGCATGCTGCTGTCAAGTGGCAGAAAGTGGGCCATGAGGTGGCTTGGTAGACTCCCAAGTACGATGCTGGGTTGGGGGGACTCTATCTTCCAGTTCAGGTTAATTCAGAAGGTGCCATTTTAACTGGTTCTAGAAAACGAACAAATACAGAATAATGCTTTGGATGAAACTAATATGGTGGGGGTTTTTTAGTGCTCCTTTTAGGAGTCTGATAAACACAATATGAATCATAAGTTGTTGTAGTTTTTGTTTCCTGCTTCTCGGTTCCTGACTCGCAAAGTCAGTCTTCTGGACTTTTGGCAGCCAGAATGTGTTTCTGTCCCACTGCATCCTGGGCTTCAGCCCACAGCGTGCCATCCATCAGCTGTGCCTCTAGAACGATAGACTAGCTCCTCTGTTAATATGTGGTACAGGTGTTAAGCCCTGGAGCCACCACACATCAGAGCAGGGCTTTCCTCAAATACCCTGGTTAGTTGCCGGGCTGGCAGAAGAAGTAGAACCACACTTGTCTTCAGCCTTGGGACACACAAGCTGCTGGGTGGGTATCAGGGATGCCCTGAGCTTTTCTTCGGCACCTTGTCTAGAGCCCAGTTCTAACCAAGGCTGCCCTGCCTCTTAGTACAGCACTGTCATCCAGCCTTCCTGTCTTTTCTCCAACAGCAATAACTATTGAACCCTGAGCCCTGGAATATTAGAACCATAGAGGTTTTAAAAGGCATCTGATCCAGTCTTGACATCTTACAAATGAAACCAAGGAAGAGAGGTATAGAACATCACCCTGGGGTAGCTAACTTGTAACTTCAGTCAAAACACCCTTACCCAGCACTGTCCAGTGGAAAGATAATGCAAGCAGCAGATGTAATTTTAAATGTACTAGTAGCTACATTTACAAAACATATAAGCAAATGAAATTAAATTTAATGTCTTTTAACCCAAGATAGCCAAGATATTGTGTCAACATGTATACAATGTAAAAGTAATGAGATATTTTGTATTCTTTGTTTGTATTAAGTCTTTGAAGTGCAGTGTGTCTTTACACTTGAAGCACAGCACAGATTGGACTGGTCACATTTCTCAAACTCAGTAGCCATATGTGGCAACTACCCTGCTGGATGGGGCAGCCTGTGTTCTTTCTACTCTGCTGACCCCTGTGTGTAAGCAGCGTGATCTTTGTTAAAAACATTTCTTTGTGAGGTTGGTAAAAGTTCAATAAGTTGCCATTATTAAAACACAAGGGTAACTGGCCTTGCTTAAGGTCACAGCCTAAAAAAATGATTAGTTTCCGTATGTTCTTATCTTTAATCTTTTTGCTTAAAATAGTAGTGTTACTGTAGGTAATCATGTCAGATGTTTTTTAGCTATCAATTGGAAGAAAATTCCCGGGAGAGCCTAAAGTCAGTCTAGAATTATGTGGGTGGCTTCTGTTTTGTGCTGCATATAATTAACTACATGTGTAACTAACTTGTTAAAAAATACCAGAACTGCCCAAGCATTCATAGTACTTTTAGCCACCTACATGCTGGTAAAATCACTCAGTTTATAAGCTCAGCTTTGTTTAAGTATTTTGGAGGAAATAATTTAAAATTTTTCACATTTAGATTCAGAATATCCTAAATTGAGTTGTAAACTCTGTTTTTCTTCCAAGTATTAGTGAAGCATTCCAAAGTCATCATTTGCTTAACAAACCAACACAAACACAAACACACTATAGCCATCTCCAAGAAAGGAGTTGTCCTTAAAACAAAAAGCATTGCCATTCAGTGATTGGAGCATCCAGCCATTTGAGATTGTAAAGGGAATATTGAAAAGTGGTTGTTCCTCCTTCCCTGAAGAAGCCATTAGGAAGCACTACTGAGCCGTTCTTTTCTTGAATCCACAAGAGGGGCCAGGAGAAATTATGTAATCTTAGCTCTGTGGAGCTCGCCCTTCCTGAATCATTTCTGATGGGAATGATCTAGAACTCTCTGAGCTTCTTGGCCACTTTGAGTTACCTCCATACCATTGTTCCCTCAGCACTGTAGCCGTTGTGTCTGTTGCTTTGGAAGTCTGTGTCTCCGTGTGCTGCCTGTGATGGGAACAGATAAAGCACTGACTTGCGGGGCGCTGCTACATGCCAGATGCTCCGCTAGGTATGTGACGTGTTATTTCATCTAATCTTGACAGTAACCCAGCAAGTAACTACACAGACAAGTTTGAGTTTCCAAATTACTTACCCAAGGCTGTGGAGCTACCAAGTGGTGGAGTTGAGGTGAAAACCAGGTTTGCCTGGAGGAAGGCCATGCCCTTTCCACAGCTGTCCTTGTTGTGCCCTCATCTAGATGGTAAGCCTGTCACAGAGAAGGGGCCACGATTTCCTTCTTTGGCACTCCTGGGTTCAACTTGTACTGATTTTCCCAACAAAGTTGAGGCAGGCCATGAACAGCTGAGGGCGAGTCAGTGATTGTTACAAAAATAGGGTGTGTGGCACAAAGGGGCAGTGCCTGTCCGAAGGTTTCTCACTGAGGAGCCGCAGCCAGGAAGGAGGGGCAGGAGACTTCTCTTGTGTTGACTAAACCTCATTTTACTTATTAAAACCGTGTTAACATATTGGAAACATGGTTCTTTTCCTGTCAAATCTTGCCTGAAGAATAAGGTATGGTAAATATTTGGTAAGAGATGCTGTTGAATGCCATATGTTATAATTAACAGACAGCTATGAAGACAGACACACTCAAGATGGAACACAATAAATTGGAGAACATTATAGGACGTTTGCCAAAGGTTTAGGAGTTTTCTCATTGGTTCTCCATGCTTGCTGACATGCTGGGCT